CGTCTTCCTCGCTGATCGATCGATCGAACGATCGCTCGCGCTCGCGCTCGCGATCTTCTCTTTCTTCCTTGGTCTCTTTATCGGAGAGCTAATTGTCGGCCGATAGACGCGACTTCCTTTTAATATTTTTAACGTTTTCCATGTTCTTATTTAATTTTTCTTTTTTTTTTTTTGTATAGGTATAAGCCAGATTTCCTTGATGTATAATACTGTTAATGCAACCTGGGTGTAATAACATTGAAACTTATTTAAACTTGAAAATGCATAAATGATAAAATTTAAATTGATTATAATTCATTATAATTATTATTATTTAATGAAAGTGTAATCGTTTTTCTACATTTCACTATGTGTACAAATTTTGATTATAAGAATGTATTTTAATTAATGTGACAAAATTTCAATTGAAAAATTAATCTGTTTAATTGTTAAATAATATAATTTTTATATTACTTTGTGTATAGAATTAAATATAAAAATATAATGTTAATTAAAAAGTTATAAGAAAATAATTTTGTTCATTAAATTATTATTAAAAGTAGCTTTATACTTTCATATTTAATAATCGACAAACTAGCCTTGTGATTTTCAGGCGTAAAATCCGAACTTTATAGAGTAACAGATATATTAAATGCCCACACTTAGCATTTAAATATAGGCTATAAATATGGCATATTATTCTAATGCTATTCTCGCATTTGCACTAGAAAATCATTGAACCGATAAACATAAACACATGCATTAGTCGTACACGCAAAGTTCCTAGAATCAAATGCCTTGCACGTGTTAAATATCTGATACAATACTATTAGTATAAATCTGATTCCATGATAAATGGAACTCCATAGTGAATTTTCAAGTCTTTTTAGCTCAAACTTTCTCAGATAACTGGAAGAAATAAGTAGTATAAAATCAATCCTTGTGCGAATAATCGTAATGAATGTGATTTTTATTCCAACACAATTTATTCCAACACACAATTTTGAATTAAGATAATGATTATTAAGATAATGATTTTTCAAAAAAAATCACAATTTCCCTGGCTTGATGAGAATGCAAAATGTTAAAAACTGTCTTAGAGATAACTTACGGGCTTTAAGTGCGTTATCATAGCCGCCGTCGTTAAGGTCGATTCAGCACCGTAGGTCCCGATGATATCTGATACTGTGCGCGATTTTCCGCGGAAATTGACGAAATGAAGAAATTCTGAAGCCGAATGCAACAGCAGCAATCGCGTCCACTCGGATTGCCGTGACAACAATGATGACGGTGAACGTATTGTGTACCAACTCGTTGGACAGCCACGACGGCACTGATCCCAAAAAGTTCCTCGGGAACCCTCGTGTTTTCCAAAAACTCCGAAAGCGTGACAGGGTTGGAGGAGGAAGAAGCCTGGCAGTGATGGAGGTGGAGGTAGAAACCGAGGTGGAGGAAGAGCGGGTGAATGATGAGGAGAAGGAGGACAGAGGGAGACCGAAGAAGAAGGAAGAAGGAAGAGGGAAGAGAGAGGACCGCCGCGGACGGAGAGGGGAACAAGCTCGCGACCCGAACGTGGGAGTGAGAAGAGCAGCCTGAGCCTGTAACGAAGGGGGAAGGGAGCCGAGGGAGGAAGAGATCGCGAGGAGAGACACGAGAGAAGAGGAACGAAGTTACGGAGGGACTAGCGGGAGACGCGAATGTCCGGCAAAAGGAACTTTAATCGCGGTTAATTGCCGCATTGTCTGGCGGATCGATCGGATTTATGAATGGTGGCACGTCGGACAAAGAAGGGGGGGGGGCTAGCGGCGAGGACCACGAGGTCTATGGGAAACAGGGAGACGGGGCCGCTGGCTGCCTCGCCCTCTCTGGTCTCGTCCTTTCTCGCTCTTTCGCTTTGTCCCCTCGCGAAGGAATCGCGGAGGACGCCAGGGCCAGAGCCCGCCGATCCATCTCCGTCTCACGACGTCACCGGAGACGAATTCTCTTATCTCCTCGTCCTCTGTTTACATGCCCCATCGTACCCTGCCCGTCGGTCCCGCGACAGCGCCGCGACATGGTTGGCTGTCGCCGATGGTGGGGCCCCATGGGATCCAGTGGGAATCCGCGTATACGCGGTGGGGGTTTCGGATGACTGACGGCCCGGAACGGATCGCAGATGGCGCTGGAACGCTCCCCCGCCGAGAAGGATGCGAGTCGCTCCCGAGAGTCGGGGGACACCGATCCTCCAGCGCGTCCCGCCGTCGCTACGGGATGCTGTAACAACCGTCCTCGCCTTTGTCATTCTCGTCATCTTGTCTTTTTCTCATACAAAAATAGCCATCGGGTCACCACGAGTACGTCCGCTTTCGAGTTGTCATTTAAACTTCCGCCATTTCTTTTACTATCCTTTGAACCGAAGGTCACGCAAATCTCCGCTTCAGGATTCAGTCTCTCGAACTGTCTTATTTGCTTTTGTGTATCTTTTCGTCCTCGTCGTATTCTTGTCACGGAAAAAAATTTTAAAAGCCAACCCTCGACATATTTTTTCTCGCTCCGAGATCGAAGGGTTAATTAATGTGACGAAGAAATAACGAGCATTACCATGTAAAAATTTCTAGGGAGGTCGAGAAGTTATCGCCCTACTACAACATATGGATGACCCCTAAATGTAATCAATTATTCGAGCGTACGCTGATTAGATAACAGCTTGTGAGATTCATGAATAAAGAGATAACGTAATAGGAGGCAAGATAGGGTATAGACTGTAGGTCTACCGCGAACGTAGCGAAAACAACGGTAATTTTATTCATCACTCTCGTCCGTTTTTCTCGACATCGTATTTGATTGAGATTTGCATGATCCGCGTGATCGGAAGCTTCTTTGACATAACATTTTTATAAAACAAATTATATTCTAATAAATATATTTACAAATTTACAGATAATCCGCGAGTTTGTTAGCCTTAGCTAACCATCCGTAAAAAGGCAGCCGCCCGTCAGGTCTCTTCGGAATAATGAGAACGTGCATCACACGCGTACTCGGGTGAGAAGTCACGCACGTGGGGAGACGACATCTAATTTGTGCGTCCAAATCGATCTCGTGGCGTCTCGTGGTGAATTTGCGCGATCATGCGTAACGGCCGTCAACCGGATCGAACAACCGGCGTCGTCCCCCCACGAAGGGCATAAACAACTCCGACTAAGGGGGACTAAGCAAGCGAGATCGGGAGAGGATCGAGAAAGACTTGAAAACCGGAGCGAGAGATTAGAGCGAACTGTCCTCCACGCCGAGCAGAAAATAGACCTGCAACGGCAAAGTTGCAGCTTATCTAGATGTTCTAAAAACTGGAAATGTCCGGTGAAATACTGGCAGCGAAATAAATCCGGGATAATAAATTCGGGAAGGAAAGGGAGAGACGGGAGTGGCGCGCGGTGACGTGCCTAAGATGGGGAATTCGTTTTTAGGCTCTCGCATCCTCCCCGGGGAGCCTAAAAATGAATCTTATAATCAGCAGATTAATATTCATAGCGTAATTAACTTGGAACGGAATATAAAAATATATATACAGGCGATAAGGGAAGCTTGTCCCACAAATAGCGGTCGAAACCGGTAAATTCGGTTCTAGCCCCTTTCACGCCACGGACACCCGAGCGCTTTTATTTGGGAAATTTAACCATTTTTATCGATTCTCGATATTTGAAGGACCACCTAACGGCCGAAAAGCCGACGGCTCTAAAAGGATTTCTTTCCCGTTTAAGGGTTAGATATTTGTCCGTCGTCTCATAATGGTGTGAGTCCACGCCGTTCGGAGTGGAACGGACGGCCGCATAGAACGGGCTAGACCGGGTCAGGGGGAAATGATGTAGCTCTATCACGTACATAAGGGGGCGTGAACACGTGGAATGAGACGTCGATCGGAACTCGTTTCTATTCGAATGGAATAAAACGAAGTAAAAGCGAGCGTCGAGACGGCATAGGCCAACCCACGGAAGATACGGTACGGTATACGCATATACGAGGAAGTATACGCTCGAGAAGCAGAATCGCTAGATACAAAGGTGTCTATCGTGTTCCGATATGAAATGCCGATATAAAATTCAAAGCCTCTCCGTTCTTCCGCAGTTGTGTCATATTTAAAAATATTTTCAAAAACATCGAATCTCTCTCTCCTTGTTCCTTATAAAATAAATTGTCCCGTACTATTCTGTTTTGATTATTAACTTTTTGTCTAGATCTCATCAACTCTTATTCAAACTCTCGTACAAATTATTTAACAGCTGTACAAAAATATTTTTTTGTATTATAATATAAGCTGTTGAAATAATTCAAATTTTTCAAAATATATATCGAATATGTATATGTAAAAGCCATATACATATATCAAAGTAAAAGAAACTTGTTATATTTACAAATATCAAATTTCAATATTTTAATTCAAAACCCCAAATGTAGCCATATGGCCGCAATGGAGACGAGAGGGTTAATATTCACGCAATAACTGTAGTTAACTTGTTATTACGCGTGATTATCAAGCGATTAATTTCAATCGTCATAGGCATTTTTATTTCTGCGAATCATCGAGATGACAGTTTATATCTTTACAGCACGTTCGGCACCATCAAATCCCGCCGTCCACGTCTGAATATTAACGAGCAGGCATGCATTGCTTTTAATCTCTTAAGCGTGGAACGCGCGTCGGTCGTGTTTCTCCGATTGCGTATGTCTGGCCGGAGCTAAGTTTCCGTAAGTAGGTACAAAAATGCGCCGCAGAACGCAAAATGCGACTAGCGATATTAATAAGCGACACAATCGTTTTCTACGATCTAGCGCGACCTCCTTTTTAAACGTCGATTCGACCCAACCGGCCGGGGAAGTTTTGCAATTGCGGATTTAATTAACCCCCTGCTTTCCCGTTAGTGCCCCTTTTTTAAATCGTCTCGCTATCGCTAAATGTTACCTGTGGTGGATTTCTCCTTGAGACTTGCGATAAGTGAATTCGGCCCTGAAGCCTAGTCGGGGATCAAACTCGCGCTCGAGGAACGAGCGAATTCTTTCCCAACGCGGACGCTAATTTATGAGCGCCGTACCGTTAGCTTGCGCAATTAATGAGGCTGCTGAAAAAAAGGGCGCATCTGTCGTATCATGCTGCGTCTCTCAAAAACCTGTTCAATAAATTATGCAAATTTTTGCCGACCTGTAGCTTTAATGAGAGACGTTTTACTATTTTTAACTTCAAGCGAGTAAAGGGCAGAAGAATCTCTCGCGTAGGGACGAAAAGACACCGGCTGAATTCTATGGATCGATCAACTCTAACGAGTTGACTCTCTCGATTATATTTCATCATGAAGTTTCACAATGTTACGAAATAGTGTTTACTTTTTAACGTATAAGTTGCAACGTTACAAGGTGTGTATTTTTAATAATAAATATGGGAAAAATGTGTCTCTAATTAAGGATAGAAAGCAAGAAAAAGAATCTCTGCATTGTGATTTTTCTTAGATTATTATCTCTTTATGAGAGATAATCTAAGAAGATTATAGTGCAGTAATTTTTTCTAGCCAACGTCATTACTTATGGTACTCTAAAAAAAAAGAAAGAGCACACATTCTCTCGAGCTAATTGCCTCGGCGTCCGCGAAAACGACAAATATCAAATATCTGTTAAAAAAAATGATCGTTCGGTGTGTTAAATCACAAAACATTATATTATAAATATGCAAAATAATATTCATACAAAGTGACATTTATTAATTACGAGACAATTTCATCCTCCTTTTGGAACCTTCGAATAATGATTATTTTAATATTCAGCGCAATGTAACCAGATATAACCGCGCGTCAAATTGAGGTATCAAGTAATTATCTCAAGCAATGTCCCGAAGAATTATCGAGGTCGAAATGTTGTTTCGCTCAATTTTCCCGTTACTATTCGCAGCAGCCGAGAAGACACCCGGTAGGTCCACCACACCCTGCATACGCGCAAACATCTGTTCCTACAGCGCGAAATAATCGCACGCATAAATAAACCGCGACAGCCGCGTGCGTGTCTCACGTGAAGCGGCGAAAACGTGACCGTTCACGATTCGGGATCCCGAAAAAGTCACGGCGAGACGGAGGCTCTCCCCGCGGGAATCTGTCGTGCGACACGTGATATTTTGCAGGATAGATTTGTTTGTTGCGGTATCTAAAATTACCAAAAAAATGTCATTCGCGATAACAGGGCGGACGTGACACTTCACATATAATAACAGTCGAAAAGGGATATTCCAAGATCCTCGAGGAGGATATATTTATCGCGCATGTGAATATCCTTTTTCTCGAATTCGTACTCTATTGTGGGATGTGGAATGTGATGTCTGTCTGAAAAGGCGGGTCCGTTGCTAAAAAGGAAGAAAAAAAATAACTGGTTTTCGAAGTTGCCCCAAGAGTGCGTTGCTTAACAGCGTCTAATTATCGCGTTCCGTTTTGAATTCTATGGGGCAAAAGGAAACCTATTTCTTTTATGGGAAAGGACGTAGGTTCGGGATTTGTTGTCGAACGAAACGACAGATGCGAAAGAAAGACGGAGAGCCGACCGTACTAAAAGCGATTGGTCTATTTCTTATGATCGCGCAACTAATCGGACCAAATCTGAATCTGACCTTCGCTTGGCCTTCTACTTCATCGCGACGAAATCACATTTAATTTTCTCGTACCACGTTGCTTGGAATTTTAATTACCCGTCCATAAGCGCGCGCGTGACGACACGTCTTTCTATCGCCACATTTTTGAGAAAGAAAGAAGATACAAGATTATATCTCACTTGACATCTTATGTAAGAATCACCTCAAACACACACATTCGATAAACTTTCAAGAATTTCTTTTTTTTGTCTATAAATAGAATGTACCAAAACGAAGAACCAAGAAATTTCAAAAATAACAAGCAACTGCTACTGTATCACGCAACTACCGATTTAATGAAGTTCTTGGCCTCGGCCTTCGAATAAAAATTAAGATAAAGAAACGGTAAAGAATACATGAATAAAGAATGGAGTACGTATAAAATGGAGAATACTGGAGAACATGAATATGCGCGAGGTGTAAGAAAAAAATGGGAAATATGATCTATCTTCAATTCTCGCATTTAAAGAGGTGCTTACTTTTTTTCTGCTTCATAAATAAACTGATAGTCGAGCGTGGGATATGATGTCGATATTTTTCTGGATACGCGGGGTCAACAATTTCTTAAGAAGTTGCTCTTCAAGTATGCGGACTTCGCCCAGAGTGTGTGCCTTACTCATAACTTCTTAAATCACTCGTGGTTTTTGTAAAAGGAAAAAAAAAAAAACGAAAGAAGGAAGAAGGGAAAAGGTTCAGCTTTTCGATTAATAGTGGTCCGGTTCCCATCCGCCGAGCGGTAAATTCGCGTCTGCGGACACAGAGGGGGGGGGGAACAAACACACAGGTGTACACGAGGTGTATGCCGACCAAAGAGACCTGGCCGACCAACCAGGAAGCGATCACGCACAACTGGTCACTCGCCGGAATTCTGTCGGATGCGATTACACGGCGCGGTGATTCGTTTTAAAAATGGGAATCCTCTCCTCGTTTCCCTTCCCTTTCTCTTCTTCCTCTCTTGACCGCGGCGTTATTAAAGCTGGAATTCGTCCGAGGTTCCTCTCATTCCGGAAGCATATCGTACCCGTTCAATTTTACTAAGCAACACGGAAAATATTTATATATTCGCATTACAAAACAACGAGGGATATCTTTTTTTTTCAATTACGTGTATTGAAATTTAAAATACGTACAGTCATATTCCGAGAGTTAACTTTCGTCGTTCAAGTTTTATCTTTATCTTATCTTTTGTTGTACATGGCGCTGCTGAGGACGTAGGGCAAGATCTCCGTAAAAATGTTGATGCCAGGATCCAAGGATCGGCCGAGTCCCTCGATCACGAGCATACTGAGAATCACGCTGCTGAAGGATCCGTCCTGCTTGACGCCGTGACGGACCATCGCGGAGAATAATTCCGACACAACGGTACTCACGTTCACCTGCGAATACCCGAGACGATCGTGCGTATAGTAATTATCTCTCTGAACGAGAAAACTTTTATAACGAGGAAGCGTCCGGCAGAGTCGCCGTCATGCTTGTTCGACGACCGATTTCCCTGTGAATCCGGCTTTTCGATTGCGAGTGAAAATTAAACGAATCAAACGCTCGGATTTTTCCGGCAGTAAAAGCGCCTATCTTTAGCCTCGCGATAATCACGATTATCCATTAATCGGCGTTACGTATACCGGTATCAAAAACTGGTTAGTCCACCCCTCGCGCGTGTTAACCGCCGAGTGCCGCGCCGGTCACCGGTGACCGACGTTATTAGACTCAATATGATATAAAAATAGACAAAGCTAGAATAATCATATTTGTAATTACAACTAAAATTAATGTCAACTTTATATATTCTAAAATAAGAAGCACTCATAAACATATAAATATTTTTCCTTCTATTAATATTTCCTTCTATTAATATTTCTAATTATGTAAATTTAAATAGACATGTATAAACGAAGAAATAGACGAATTTTAGATCCGGTGCTCAATGTTCGTACTCGCGATATGCCTCGTAATTAAGCGACGCATCGTCCTTTTCCACGTGGGTGCATTTCTCGGAGGTCGATTGATCTTGATTGAATCCGCGCGATCTTAAACAGCGTATCCGACAATTCCCGCTATATAATCACGCGATCGCTTGATACACGTTGCTGTTATTATTATGTACCCCGTGCTACGACGATATAACCATACTGAAATGCCGACGATATCTCGTACAATGTTTATGCGCGCGGTCGCTTACATAAAAATAAAAACGGGAGATCGTTTCCGAGAAGCAATGCACAGAGCGACGCGGATAAGACTAAAAAATTAATAACAGTTCAATTCGATCGAACGATGGTCCGAGAATCTGTAAATGAGGATCGTGAGAAACATGTTCAGATTTCCGAAGGAATACTTGTGATCCTACTAACGTTAAACGGATTACAGAGATGAATCTTCACAATGTTCCTCATCGAGCATTTGAAGCCATCCGGATCGTGTGTCACGTGTGAGCTGTGCTCCAAAATATGTTGCGCCGCCATTTCACCCTGTGTTACAATTTTCATGTAAAACTTCAATCGCTCGATCGAAGAAATGTAAAAAACGTGCGACAAAAAATAATCATCGAGGTCGATCAAAGTGGTATGCACATAAAACAATTACAAATATATATTAAGTGGAAGAGGTTTAAAAAAAAGAGTAGCAAGGAACATTATCGCATTTAAGTTTAAATCGAACTGTCTTCCTCCTCTGCAGATTTACGAAATTTACTCTCGTGCAAGTAGAGCCAGGTATCTTTATATATTGTATATATTTTACAACGATCCTTTTTCCTTCGAGACTGGGTACCGGAAAAGATGCGCTTCAATTAAAAATAGGCGTCTTATCTCGGCGTTTACATTCCCCATTAAAATACCGAAGGAAAATATACCTCGGTGAGGAAGAAAAAAAAAGAAAAAAGAATAAACGTGTTCGGTTTAAGTTACCCATTAAGAAAGCTCGAAAAGAGGATCTCTGTCAATAAAAAGTGAACGTTATCTCTCCGAGCTTACGTTTCCCATTAGCACCGAGTAAAAAACGTCTCGGAGATTTTGTCGGCAGCGATCATTCAGAGATACCACTAGCCCGCAGTCCAGGATGATCAGGCGTGGGTCGTCCGCCACGTAATCGGGGGTAATGACCTGCCGAAAGATGCTGAATAATCCCGCCTTCGGCACGATCGCTTTTTCGACTAGAATGTTGCCTGGATGCAAGTCACAATGGATAAAGTTGTCCTGAAATATCTATGGCAAAAGTCGAATGCATCATCATTCTCGAACAAGAGATTTAAGAGAACATTGCGAAAAACACATCAATCTCGTTTTAAAATCTTTGAGAACTCGTTCTCAAAATTCAACGTCAATTTTTTCGAAAAATCTCATAATGCTTTAATAGACCTTAATAATAATAAATCATTCGTTCTACTTATGCTGACCATTTTAAGAATCGTTGTGATTCCTATCTTGGCGAGTTTCCGCTGTAAGACAACGTCGTCGTGCTCGAGATAATTGGATATCGGTAAACCCTCATGAAAACTCTCGACAAGTATCCTGCGACAGGTCAGATATAAATAAGGATACGGAAATACAATGTTGTTCCTCCGTGAAAAATTTGTCGAAAATCTTGCGAGATTTGAGGCCTCCAGTCGCATGTCAACCTTTGCAAAAATCGATTGCGTAAGTTAATTTAACGCAAATTATCGCATTCTTTCTTTTACTACATATATATATATATATCACATGCAGAATCCAGCATAATTCAAACGAGTTACCATTATTTATTTACTCGAATTATTCCCTTCTAATTTCTATTTTCATGAATAAAGCAACTGATAGATTTTGTCTTACATCTCGTTGGAGTTATGCCAGTTCCAATCAGTCCCGAAAAAAATCTGTGTTCCGATGCGATTTGTTATAACGAGATTTCTCTTGAATTGCAAGTAGATGCAAGAGTAGTTCATGGAAAGTTACTTGATCTTCTATTATGCGCGCGAATTCGTCGATGCAATCCGTGAGGCTGAGCCAATGCAATTTCGGAACGAAATACGTGACGCATTTGAAAAGGCTGCGCATTATCGCGATGTCCCTTCTAAAAAACAAATGGGGAATATATACAGAGTGTCCTTATTGCCGTATCAACGTTACATAGCAGATTTTTCGAGATAATTGAATTTACGTTTGAACGTCCAAGCATCGAGAATCCCGGAACATTTGAAAATTGAAAACGAGAGATCTCTCGCTAATTAATGCATTCCTTAATTAATTTCAGGTAAAGTGTGCTTTTTAAAAATTTAGTCACAATGATAAATAAATTCGGCGTTTTCATCGAGAGAAAATTTAAGCATGTTGGTGCGTAACGAAACACCCGATATAATTGCAACGCAAGTATAAACACGCATGTTCCATCATCCATATGTTTCTTATCGGCGACGTGATTGAACGTTGCCAAGAAAGACTGTTAAAAATTATCTGCGCGATATCTCAAAGAGGGTACTTGAGTTGGCCTTTGATTCCGGGATGCAACACTTTTACCGCTACGGCTTGCAATTTCCTGACATAAGGATTGACAGGCGTGAATTCACCGCTTTCATCGATAGCTCTGTCTGTAATTATGAAATACATATCAGTCTCATCTCGTCTGCTCAGAATTCAAAAATATTTAAAATGAAAATCAACATCAAAGCAACATCAAAGGATGAAATTTCTATCCTTTTTTCTTATACAGTAACAATTACAAAAAAAAGATTTTATTTCTATTATTTTTGTTTAAACGTTCTCCATTTAACAAACAAATAGAAATTAGCCGATCTTTAAAAATAGTATCTCAATAATTCATTTTAAGTTCATTTCTGCGATTAGCCTGATTTCTCTGCGCGTATATTTAATGCGGCTATGTAAATCTATCCGGACAGGTCTAAATGTCTGTCACGTGAACACTTCGTCGTTCTAGGCGAAACGATAACGAAGGTGATCTTTTGCGAAATCGCTACCGCGTGATTTCTATCGCGGTGATATGTGCACACGAGAGAAGAAGAAGTGAAAACACTTTCTAGCTTACTTTCCACAAAACGGGACATCCAAGGATCCTGCAACACACTCAGGTCGATCCACGCTTTGTATACCTGCGCATCGATTTCGGCAATGTAAAGTTACACAAATAACACGTAGCTACATAATCCTACGACAATTTCTCTTTCAGTCTATGTCCTATTCTATCGGCTGCATACCTGTGCGCAGCATCCCGAGCCAATCGGATCCTCGTCGAACCTCACGAATAAGTTCCGCCAGGAACGACCGTAGGTCGCCTCGAGTAGACGCTCCGTGTATAGCCAAGGGTGCGGCGTCGCATTCCGTTGCAACTGCGAAAGTATGTCGCAGATATCCCGTGGGAAGACATCTCGCCGTGTGGACATCCACTGACCGAACTTGATGAAAATCGGCCCGAGAAATTCGATACCTACGAAAAAAATGAGATCCTCTCGCTTGAATTGGCCCTTGTGAACATACACACTATACATATTTTGTTCACTGAAAAATGCAAAAATTCGCATATAACTTTAATACTAAGGATAACTTTAAGACTAAGGATATTTATAATATTAATTTTACTACATACTTTATTATTAATTTTACAAATATTTACTAATATTATTACTATAAAGAATAATACTATTAATATTATTATAAATCATATAATCATAATCTAGACATTAGTATTACTAATATTAACTTATAACAGTAATAATTTATTAATAAACAGTAATAATTTGTGATAAATAATTTAATATTAACAATTAATAATGATGATGAATTGAAATAATTGTTCTGCAGCATTAATTAATAGGACATTCGCCAGATATTGGTCATCTGTTAACTGATCTGCTCGAGATATAATATAATTTTCACGAATAATTATTTTTTTTATAATTCACAAATCTTTAAAGATAAAGTAAAATAAAAAACAAGAAATAAATATATAAAATAAAAAATAAAAAGTACCATATAATGCATCTTGAAATATGTCGATACATTGTAGATACATTGTAGAAATTTAAGTCTCGTTTAATCTTTCAAATACTCAAATTTATTAAAAACAGATTTTATAAAATCTACTATAAATTTCATCAGCAGAATACCAACAAAAAAATATAATAAAATCTGTTAACAAAATGTGATGACAGACTGACTTACAAAAATCGAGCATTTCGTAACCATTTAATGATACGGTTCGTTCGAACGATAACGAAACTACCCACTGGCAATATATTATTAGATTATGTCACATTCTACTAACAGAATATCAAGTTAAATGCCGACAAAATTAATCTATCCAATCGCAAGCGGAATATTCCGCTCGAATTTACTGGCAAATCGTTAAAGGTTTTCACCTGCCGAATACCTTTTCGCAGTATAGGAGGAAACAAACTCGTGTGGGTCAGGCGTGTTATTAGATACACGATAAGTAGGATGTTAATGACTGTAATTACAACTGCGATCCTCGTTATTACGAGAATCGTTTCTCGTGCCTCCACGAGAAAGCCACCCTTCTGTACGTCCTCCTCGTCGTCGCCGATGGATCCGATCGTTTGCGGCTCGCGGATCTGCGCGCGAGGATTGCGGGAAAGCACGGTCGAGGCGAGATCGTGATTGGTCCGCTCGTTAAGATACTCGCTGGAACGCTTTACCGGCGGCGGGTGAGAGCAATTCTCTCGACGACGATAACGCGATCGCCGTCGCGCGAGGACATTGTCGCCGCAACGGCGGATGTTCGCGATGAGCCGCGCGAGATTCGGCCGCAACGACATATTTTTGCAACTCTCATAATTTTCGTTTTGTTCCGAGATAAATGCGGCAGAGAAGGCTACGTTCCGCGATCCGCGACGCTGTTCCCGTACGCGTCCATGTCGCAAATCTGCGCGCGGAATTTCTTTTCTTCCCCTTCGATAAAAGGAAGGATTCTTTTTAATCTGACCTGCGCGCTTTTCCTTTCTCCATCTCGCGTATCGAGAATCGAAAAACTCGAACTCGAAAGCTGAGAAGGTCGATTCGCACCATCCTCGATTAGCTTGATCGATTGATTAAATTTAATGATTGCCAACTGCAGAAATCAAAAGTGATCGCATTATTTTGTTTTTTTCTTCATTTTCTGCAAATGATTTATTTTTGTAAATTATAATATTTTTAAATAATAATTAAGTATTCTTTTTAATCATTATAATAAAAATTATAATAATAAAATAATAAAATAGGGGCCCAGAAAAAAAATGCCGCTCTAGCTATCGAGTAGAATTTTGATACGTAATCCTGATTGGTGAATCGCTAGTGCTAATATAGCTTTTGATATTGTCAGTATTTATAAGTATTATTAACACATTTCAGAACACATTCTATATGAATTTACGATTCAATGTTTTTAGTGTTTGTTCTATGATAAAAGCGGAAATTCAAGTGTACTCGTGACGTTTGAATTGACGGCTGTGTTACGTTTAAAAATTGTTAATAAACGTTGCACTGCCAACGTGGCCAGCCGGAAATGAGCCACATGATTAAAAAACAAGAACAGTTAATATTTATTACGTATTATATGTTTACGTAGCGACAGCAGTCACCTCGTTGCACAGTGAACCGATCAGCGCAGACAATACATTAGTTTACGAACAAATTACTTAACGAAGTGAAATAATTTGGATTTATGAAAGTTAAAAATCATATTCTTGTTGGATTTGAAGCATGGACAATTGAGAATACGCCTCATTTCTAACATGTAGTTCCTTCATTATGACTGATGAGAATTAGGTTAAGATTGAATACATTTAGTTTTGTCAATATTGAATTACCAACTGAAACTAATATGAGCTTTAGGCGTTAGTTTGATTTTTGCGATTACTGTGAGATTTATATTTAAGTTTTTAATACAAAACAATTTGCAACAATGAGGACAATAAGAAAAACCATTGCTATTCTCGGAGTAGGTTTGATTCTTGCCTGCTGTGTGATGATTTATTTAATGATGGATTTAACTCTCCTACCACAAGGTCCTAAAGTTTCTATGAGCAGTGTAAGTCGTAATATATAATATTAATTTGTCTTAAAATTAAAAAAATACATTTGTTTCAAATTAAAAGATTATATATTTAATCTTTTTTTTTTAAACTCTTAGACACGTCTACTTTATTTTAGATTATTTTATGTAATTCAAAATGCTCAGAGAAAACATTTTATTTTTTAACAAAATATACATATTTTGATTATCTTCAAGTATATTTTTTTCTTTACACATAGCTGTGTTCCAATATTCATTGAAAATTATATATATATAAAACATATATATATGTAGTATTGGCAATGAATATCAAAATGCAATCTATATTTTTAAAAATTGTAAACATTATTTCTTCTTTTCAGAATCAATGGCTGCATTTTGAGAACAGATTGGCAAAATTAGAGAAGGATTTTGACAAACATCATAAAGTTATGAATGCTTTACAGGAGCAAGCGGCAAAAATCAAAGATAATTTTGTACCTGTTGTACATTCACCGATTAGTCATTTGAATCGTTCCAACATAACAATTTCACGTTCAAGGAAAAGTCTCACATGCAATTTTAATATCCAAAAAGTTCCAGAGGTTGACATACAGATGTTAGAAATGTATAAACAATTAGAATTTGATAATCCAGATGGCGGAGTCTGGAAACAGGGCTGGAACATTATGTATGATGAAAAGCAGTGGCATCCTAACAGAAAACTAAAAGTTTTTGTTGTACCTCATTCGCATAATGATCCTGGATGGTTAAATACATTTGAAAAATATTATATGTTCCAAACGAGAAGCATATTGAACAATATGGTGACCAAGTTAGGAGAGGATAGGAGGCGCAAATTCATTTGGGCGGAAATATCGTTCTTTAAACTTTGGTGGGACGATCAATCCAAAGAAATAAGAGATGAAGTGCGTCGCCTCATACACGATGGACAATTGGAAATCGTATCGGGTGGATGGGTGATGCCAGATGAATCTGTATCCCACTGGATCGCTCAACTCACGCAATTGACCGAGGGTCATCAATGGCTGAAATATAATCTAGATTATACACCAAATTCAGGTTGGGCTATTGATCCTTTTGGTCTCTCTCCTACCATGCCATATCTCTTGAAAGGTTCGGGCTTGGAAAATCTCTTGATACAAAGGGTTCATTATTCAGTGAAGAAGAGACTGGCTAAGGACAAGAATCTTGAATTCCGTTGGAGACAATTATGGGACAACGATGGCTCCACAGAATTGTTCACTCATGTTATGCCGTTTTATAGCTACGATGTTCCTCATACGTGTGGACCAGATCCGAAAGTGTGCTGTCAATTTGATTTTTACAGAATGCAAAATTTTGGTCTGAATTGTCCGTGGAAAGTTCCGCCGAAAACCATAACTAAAGCTAACGTAGCGGAGAGAGCGCTACTTCTACTGGATCAGTATCGCAAAAAAGCACAACTCTTTAAAACCAATGTAGTACTTGCACCTTTAGGCGATGACTTCAGATACACACATCTCACCGAATGGGAAGCTCAATTTGATAATTATCAAAAGCTTTTCAAATATATGAATGAAAATCAACATTTGAATGTCCAAATTCAATTTGGAACGTTGAGTGATTATTTTGAGGCAGTTCGAGAGAAACACAACTTGAATGAATTTCCTACTCTATCTGGCGATTTCTTTACGTATTCTGATAGAGACGATCATTATTGGAGCGGCTATTATACTTCTAGGTACAAATTTCTTTAGAAAAACAATCTTCTAATGACTACTTTTTTAAATAAATCATCTAATATAATCCTTATATCTGTGTAGACCTTTTCATAAAAGATTAGATCGTGTATTGTTGGGTTCTCTAAGAGGAGCAGAGGCATTAGCTGCTATAGCTTGGGCTAGAGGCAATGATCAATTGGTAGAAGGAAGTCTTGCATCACGTTTAAGTAAAGCCAGAATGTGGCACTCTCTATTTCAACATCACGATGGAGTTACCGGAACTTCCAGGGACAATGTTGTGATAGATTACGCCCAGAAGATGATAGTGGCATTAAACAATTCAGCTCATGTACTTCAACAATCTATAGCACATTTATTGAGAACCCCACAGATATCATCTACAGATGTGGAAGCTGTGTACTTCACATTAGACGAAATTAGGTAACAAAAAAAAAAACAATTCATGAACAATAATCAGTAATTCAAATACATACTTATTTAATATTTATTGATAAAACAACATATAATCTTTTTTAAGATCGCATCATACAAATGTCGGTGAGAAGCATATTCTCAATCTTGGAGATGATAAACCATCCAGAAAAATCATTCTATACAATCCTCTCCCAAGGCAGAGAACTAAAATGCAAACTTTGATTGTATCCACGCCATTCGTTAAAGTTACGGATCGAAGAGGACATACTGTTAAATGCCAAGTGTCTCCCGTTTGGATTGGTCCAGCTGCATTGTCTTCAGCTAGATACGAATTATCATTTTTAGTTATTGTACCAGGATTTGGTATTACTACGTACATAGTTCATGCATTACATAAAACGTCAAATACCAAGTAAATATGATGATTTTTATACAAAAATTGATCCAAAAAATACTATAATAACAATGTATACTATAATAGCAAAGTTTTATTGGGCTATTAAGTTTATACTTTTCTTATCGCTTTATAAAATATTAGATATATATAAGACATTACGAAAATATAAAAATTTTTATATGAATGTCTTCTTTTTTTTTAATAGGGACGTATATCTGGCTAATGTCACTATCTTCAACACAGACATAAGTTTCCCATCGATACCTGGTTTCAATCATCTAACGATTTTACCGCATACACAAGAATTTTCGATCACTCAACGACCAGAATTGTCTGCTTCTTTCGGCAAGTCTGGTTTGTTGAAAGCTTTGCGAGTTGGCAATACCATGATTCCTGTGCATCTAGATTTTGTAAAATATGGTACCAGAGGTTCTGGTAAAGATAAAAGTGGCGCTTATTTATTCTTGCCTGACAAGTCGGAACCAGATGTGATATTTATGGATGGCAGAGCAATTGTTCATTTAGTAACCGGACCAATTTTATCAAAAGTATTCATCGAATTGCCACACGTGCGGCATACTTGTACACTGTTCAATTCTCCTGGCAGCGACGGACTCGGATTGCATATACTTAACGAAGTCGACATAACAGAAACGCAAAACTATGAACTTGCAATGCGTTTCAACACAGATATTGCATCCGGCGACCAATTTTTCACGGATTTAAATGGGCTCAATGTAAGCACACTGATATATCATTACAAATTTTATATTTTAGAACATCTTTTAATGAGACTTGTCATATTTTCTTGTTTGAGATATAATTACGATCTACATTTTATTTAATTAAATTGTAGATGATTCGTCGGCAGAGATTCCCTAAACTTCCTACGCAAGGAAACTATTATCCAATGGCATCAAGTGCATATATAGAGGATAAAGGAGTTAGATTAACAGTTACTACAGCGCAGCCATTGGGAGTAGCCTCTATGACAACTGGTCAACTCGAGGTAAGTATCGATCAACTCTTGCCTTGCAAAAAAACTTTTAGTATCTTGATAAATATATATTGAATGAAAAAATTAAACTGTAACAAAAATTGACAATATTAATTTTCTTTAAATGAAAGAATGAATTCATTAGAATATTAAATTAAAATTAGATAATATCTAATTTTTATTACAGTTTATTTTTTCAAATGTATCTATATACATATATGTGCATATGCACACACATATAATCTAATTTCTATAAATAGATCATGCAAGACAGAAGATTACTTCAGGATGACAATCGAGGATTAGGACAAGGTGTAATGGACAATCTGTTGACAAATCATATGTTCACGTTGATTCTGGAAAAAAAAGAGACGAATTGTCCTTTCGCAATACCACCGACAAATCACCCATCAGGTTTATTATCTTTAAGCGGTCATTTAGCTTCGGAAGACTTACTGCATCCGATTGTAGCGCTGCATCCTCACAATTCTATGCCATTCGATCTGCACGCTCATTTCTCGCCGCTTCGATACGATCTTCCAGTAGATATAAGCATCATCAGTCTCCGAGTATTTCCTATTCCTGAGGGTGCTGGCAAAGGTATCGGTATGGTGTTGCATCAATCAGCTTTGGACATTTGTTTTAACAATTCCCTCTTGCGACGCTTCAATGTTTCGGAATCAGGAGAGGTAGATCTGACGAAGCTCCTCAACGATATGGAAGATTGGACTATAAGTAAAGCACCTCTTACATTCCACAATGTCGGACCATCTTTGAAATCGCCTATTGTAAACTTATGTCCGCATCAAATACTGCCAATTTTATTTCATAAGACGCAATCCTAATCGGGAAGAAGACGCAACATAGTTGTTTCTTATTTATCCACATAAATTTTGTTTACTCAAGATAATATAGTCCAAATGTGCCGAGGCCGGTGGATTTGAATTGTCTAATTTGTACCTAAAACAGTATTAAGTGCACGACGTTATTATTATTTCGATTTTAATGATCTTGCTTAATACAATTTATATTCTATAACAAATACGCAATTAAAATACAATCAAATTATAGCAATTATAGTAACAAGAAATTTACTCTCTTCAAAATTATACATATGATGTTTAAGACGTAAAAAGAATTAGTAAAGAATTCTAATTAATCTCAATGCATGTAATAATCTGTCAAAATTTTTTGTTGTAATTCTTTGTCATTATTTTTGTTATTTATTAAATTAATGATTATTATTATTTATGTTGAAATAGTGACTTCTGTGATTTTATAGAATTTCTAATTAAAGCTATGTACATATCTAACGATACTGATAGTATTTGAGAATTTGATAGATGATGACAAATAAAGCATTTTTTAAAATACAAACCGTATTGTGTAACGTCACGTTTCGCCGTTACCAAACCAGCTACTATAACTATGTAATTTGTCATCATTTACTCAATATTTCATGTATAATGCGGATCTTGGTGTGGTCAATAATATTGAATCAGTAATACTGACAATATGCATCAATATTTTTACAACCTTGTATGATCAGTATTATTGAAAATTCCAATTTAATTTTATATATATTATCTAATTTAATCTAGAGAAAAAGAGAATAGAAACGTCAAAACTCAAAATAAAAATAGTCTAAAAATATATACTGTGATATATTTATTATTGTGAAACTATACCGATGAAAATACTGATGTGCTTTCTTCACATAATCAGGATATTATTATCAATATCCCTACAATATAATGATACTAATAATATTTAAAAATCAAGAAATCTAGATCGTTATCTGTATATTCTGCATCAATCTATCAATATTAACTATATATGATTAATAATATATATTGTTAATATTGTTAATATTTGTTGACACTGATATTATTGATCATATAAAGTCCGCAAAATAAAAATATAATTCCTGTATTTTATACATATGTATTCAGTTAAAAAATATTTTATAAGAATGTCGCTGAGATTTTAGGATTGTATTTGTGGAGTATTGTGGATGAGTGAATATAATATTACTCTCACTGTACATTTAGCTCACTAAGTGCGATTCATTATCAGACTGAATCGTAAAGCACACAAAGTATAGATTTGAATGATTAAATTTAGTATTAACGAGAGTGAGGACACGAAATAGTGCGATAGAAATATTCTGTCGAAAACGAATACTTTAATACTAGTCAATTATGGACTGTGTAAAATAAACTTGGAACACACAGCAATTTTATATGTACTCTTGTACTATATCACATTTGTACTGCATTGAGTATATGTGCTAAAAAAGCATTAAAAAGCATTAAAGAATCTTAAAATACGTATATAGGTAAATGACTTTAAGAAGCTTGTTTTATGCACGATGTAATAAAAAAAGATTTGATAATTAATCAATATAATAAGCCAAGTAACAAATTTCAAAGAACAGACTAGAAGGCATCGATGGATTAGATCTTGGATGTCTAACAATCTTTATATTGAATTTATAAATTCGGAACAAATCCACCGAATAATGCCTTCTCTGTTATTTGATTAATGCTGGAATATCATTAAGAACAACAGCGATAGTTATATATTTGTAATAGAATAGTAAACACTCATTACCCAAGAGCATAGAAGAATTGTATTGCCGAGGGATTGTGCTTGAAGACGGTTAAAACAACTTTCAGCATCTGGTTTTGGTATGCCATAGATTCCAGAGCTGACATCATAAAACGGCCAAGTCCTTTGCGCCTGGCCGATGGTTCCAATTGTAATTCATAGCTACGTATACATACACGTAAATACTTAATTTTTTCATATACCGAAATGTTATTTTTAACACACGCTTATGCGCGTACATACATATAAATCTGTATGAAATATACATACCAATATAACACAACATCACCATTGTCGACGTCAAATCGAAAGTGTGAAAAGCCAAGATGTTTGTCTTCGTACGAAGCTACCAAATACCACGCGGTTTCTTCCGTTAGCTCCGATCGTTTTTCAGCTGCGTTCCATCCCCAGCTGGAACGCTCATACATGTCCTTCATGTTTCTCTCCATAATATCAAAAATCCAAGAAAGCAACGTCCATGTTGCATCCCTTGCCCTGACGCAAGTAAGTTTAATCGTTTTGTTATCCTTTGTGACATATTCGTGAAACTTTTGGAGAGCCTCTAAAGGATTTGCCTGAGTATTTGCCTTGTTTATAAGTTGCTGCTGCGTCGCTGCCTTTTCTGCTAAAAGCTGACGTCTCGTTTTTCTAGCTTTCTTCTGCAGGAAGAAAAAAAATTAAAAAAAAAAACAACTTATTTAAATTTCTTTAGTAATTTATGCGAGCGCTTTAAACGCCGTTGGACAACACTGACCTGCATGATTAACGTTCGAATTCCCGATATCCCGCCTTTTTTGACTCGCGTGTAGGTTACGTCGTTTTTCTCCGCAGTATTTTGCTGCACGTCCTACCTGAAGTTAAAAAATTGATTTTATGAATCAAACAGAATAATTAAAAAAAAAAAATATAAATTCTCCAAGGCACACAATATTTTCATACGTCGCAAAGAGTCGCTGCTTGTTCAACCGCTCTCTCGGCTCTCCACGTTTTTTATACAGAGGCGTGTATGCGAGTGTGCGTTACATTATTTACCTAGCGCATAATAAAAATCGCAGACGTCGCGGCAGGCAGGAGAGGCACCGCGTTTCGTATTGTTTCGTATCTCGCAGCGGGGAGCAACGTCAATATCCGTCGTTCCGAATTGCCGCGTGCGACCGGCCCACGCTGCCGTTTCAGCGTCGCGGAAAGGAGATCATCCAAGATCGTCTACCAATCATGACCGATCGCCGCCGCAACGCGACGGACGGCCCGTTAGGCAGGATCGGAGTGTATCGCTTCCCAGCTGCACGATCCTCTTCCGCCCGTCTACGTGACAGCGTTGACATGAGCGTGTGCTCCCGTGATACCGTTCCAACGAAAATAAGCGGCGACTGAGGGAAACCTTTAACAAAAGGAGGAGAGAGAGAGAGCATTGGAGCAGATCGCCTCTTCAGCATCCAAGGTTGAGAGTCGATTTATATACTCGTGAATTTTACACTCGTCTTCGCCTCTCTCTATGGCAATTGAACTCTTCTCTATTTTTTTTTTTTTTTCTTTCGAAAAACTTTGTCGATTCTATATCGTTTTCTCTCCTCGCGAATAAACTGCGAATACCACTTCGCTTTCGATGAGCTGGTTGCTTTGTGTATAGGTTAAGACAGGTTGCACTTGAGAGGGATGCAAATTTACCTTTGTCTTTTTTAAAAAAAGTGTAGGTTGTTGTTTCTTGGCTTCTGAAAGAATTTTGATGTATGTTTAATTGGAATAAGCTCTTTTTCGTAATTGAAGACAGATAAAAAGTTTTGTCATTATACAATTATGATATTAAATTTTATTGTTTCTTTTCCAATATTTTTTCAATTTGTTATGTGTATATAGGAAACATTTTTTTATATTAAAAATAAAAATAATATAAATTGAGAGCTATCGAGAACGCAGTAAAGTTTTGATTGAAGGCACTCCCTTTCTTGGATAAACTTTAAAAAAAAGTACACAGAAAACAGGAAATGTAATAAAATAAAATGCAAATAGTTATTAAGATTTATTAATAAAATGTTTATAAATGAATATATTAATGAAAATAAATTTAAAAACACGAGATGCTATTTGTTTAAAATAGATAAGAAAAAAACGGATCATTAGATCAAGAAAGAATGTAACGTTAAATAACAAAATCTTTTAAAGTGCTCTCCTTGTATTTTTTTTGTTTCTATATATCTTGGTGAAAAATACTGAACCGATTTATACTTTTAATTTCCTTAGATATAGATGAATTAAGATTTTTAAAAACTCATAATTTCATCAAAAATTACAACTAGTCAGAGCTAAAAATTGCATTTTTCTCAAATTAAAATTGAAATTTAGGAAAAAAAAGTATTAATGAATAAAAATTTACCACATCCATGTGGTAGAATAAATGAAAAGTGATACAGATATGTTAGCTCAGTGATGAGGAAAGAAAACATAGGAAGAAAACATATTATAAGAGGACATTCAATTTCGCAATCTGCTTCCTTGATGTCGATTAATTTTTTAAATCCTGATTTAACTTATTATAACTTTATTTATTTCTAATATTTATAATTAGCCCTATGAAAGAAATTACAGGAATTAAAAAATAAGTTTAATCCAAATTAAAATTAATCTACAATCATTGATAGAAATGAACATAAGTGTTTTAATTGACTGTTACATGGACTTTAATTTATTCGCTGATATTTATCAATCAGCAATCTGTTGAGCAGTCATCTTATGTGCGCAGTGATCAAAGATGTACATATACATAATGATTTGAGCAAACATGTAAAATTAATATGTGCATTTATATGTTTGTTGAAATTTATATTGTTATATAATAATAATAATGAAAATGATATAATTTATGATATATTCTATTAGATAGTTATGTTTTCCCATGTCTCATAAGAATGTATCCGTTCAGCTAAAAATACAAAAACAAAGGCAGACCTGTTAAACTTATATTTATAGTTTATATCTGTAAATTATATTTCTTAAGAGCATGCGTGCGCTTTCTAAAAATAGTCTATCGCGCCTCATTGCCACTGACGTTGGCTGTGTTCTTATTTTGTAACAAAACGATGATATATCTGCTGTTTTATATGAAGCAACACATTGATAAAATAGTTGATTAATACTCGTTATCATCTTTCTGCTTCAGCATATCGTTCCATAGAAGCCTAAAGGAATGGCTGAGGAGGAGAAAGCTGTTCCCTCGTCTATGACTCAGTGCTATGAAAATTACATTATAGTCGATGTGGGTGCCAATCTAACAAATAAGAAGTATAGTCGGGATTTGGATAGTGTGATACAAAGGGCGAAGGATGCCGGGGTGCAGAAAATTATGGTAACTGGTGCTAGCATTCGCTCCAGCAAAGAGGCATTGAGGCTAACCAGAATATATCCCGGGACATTGTATTCAACTGCTGGAGTGCATCCACATGATGCAAAATCTTGGGAAGAGCCGAATACCCTATGCGAATTGGAGAGCATAGCTAGTAATCCAGAATGTGTCGCGATCGGAGAGTGCGGTTTGGATTACAGTCGCGACTTTTCAGCTCCGGAGGCGCAGCGTGCCGTATTTCACAAGCAGATAGAATTAGCCTGTATGTTAAATAAGCCATTAGTGATACATGAGAGAGGCGCGCAAAAAGATGTACTGGAAGTACTTAGCCAGTATAAGAATCGTCTGCCGCCCGTTCTAATTCATTCTTTCATCGGTACCGCGGAGGAGGCGCAGATTTACTTGGATCAAGGCTTTTATCTAGGTATTACGGGCTATCTGTGCAAAGATAAATCCGACAGTGGAGTAAGACAACTATTGGAGGGAGGACAAGCGCCGTTAGATAAGATCCTAGTGGAAACCGACGCGCCATTTATGTATCCAAACACCAGAGCCAGTAAATTGCCCGTGCATGTAAAGGACGCTCTGACCGAACGGTCTATGACATTTCTCCATCGTTACTGTACCTTTCAACGTAACGAACCATGTGCCTTGCCAGCGATCGTGGAAATGGTAGCAGCATTTATGCGAACCACGCCAGAGCAAGTTGCACTAGCTACAGCTTTTAATGCTCTAAAGTTATTCGGTTTGAATCAATGATAATAATATTGGGATCTCAAAGTTGTGCATAAAATGGGTGCTAGTAGGTGCTATGACAATTGAATTAGATTTTTAACGTATAAAGCTTCCTCTGGAGCCGTGACATACTTCTTGCAATGGGTTTTTTTTTTAATCAAACAGTAGTTTCTATATGCATATTTTATGTCGAGGAAATTCAATTTAATAGTCGACTGCTTGTGTAGACTGTTGAAATTGATAACGAAATTGACTAATTATTGTAAAAGTCCTAAGGACTAAATGATTGCAGATATTTATATACTCATATCTACAACATATTATATGTACAAAATATTTTTATTATATTCAGATTTGTAGATTTCCTTAATTTATATATATATATATATATATATATATATATATATATATATATATATATATATAGTTAGTT